AGTCCATATTCGTCAAACCAATACTAACTATCTGAAAGTTCCTTAATATCATAAAGCTCGGTAAGTTTCAAATACAACTGAAATCATCCCAAGAAAAAGTTAAAAGAAAAAAAGGTAAGTACACAGTAGTCCAGAGTCTTTATTGTATAAATAAGACACATATTTTAGCATGTAATATTATTTAATAGAAAGAATATGGATTTTTAGAACTTGACAAGACCTGAATTGGTAACTTAGATCTGCTCTTCACCAGGTGTGCCATTTTGTGTCAGTTACTCAATGTCTTTGAATGTTAAACATCTCATAAGGCAAATAAGAATATTAATTTCTAATTTATTTGAAAAATCTGAGATGAATGAATTATTTTGAGCTGTTTACTAGGATAATGAATTTAAGGTCCCTAAGGCACCTAACCCAGTACCTGGCCTGTTAATAAATGGTAGCTAATATTAATTAACTAATTAATTAATTTATCTGTCAATCATTGCTTCTATTTGAGAGTTTTTCTTTTTCACTCCTTGCCTCCTAGCTTCTCTTATAGTTGAAGAGCATGGGGTCTAAAAGATCTGGGTTTGAATTGTGGTTCTACGACTTATTAGTTTACTAATCTACTTATGAACCTATCTTAGCTGCAGTTTTCTCAGCTGTATAAGAAGATCACAAAATCTCCTTGCAGTAATGTTCTGAAGACTAAGAATGATCCATTTGAAAGTGTCAGGCATACAGCAGGTACTTTATTAAGAGCAGATATTATTATAATTCTCATGAGTCTTCTCACAGTCATCCTGTTATATGTAGAAGAACACATGCTCATGAATACTTTTAAAGTAAGATATGTAGGATTTTTTTCTCTATTATGTTTCACTATCTTGCAGAAAAACATAATTTGGTATTATAAAAATTATTCCTATAAATAATATTTGTATAGTGACTTACAGTTTACAAAATACCTTTGAAACTGAGGACTATACCCCTAAATTAGCCATTTGTTGCTGTGTGACTGTGATCATTATTCTTGCAACCCATCCTGCCATCAAAATGCTTAATAATTAACAATAATGATAAACTGCAAATACTAAGAAGGCTATGAACAAAGTCCAATGTGTTATTGTCATAGGCCTATATTTTTAGAAATACTTGACAGTTGAAATTGGCCAGATGAAATTGAGCAATGGATCATAGATTCTCCATCTCAGCAGTATATCTTGGAAGCAGGGGCCTCCTCTAGGCAGGCTTTGACAAAGGACATCTAAAACTGGTTTCTTAACTTCTTTTTGACTTCTAAAATGTCGTCTAAAGTATTGGTTAAGTTGTCTGTTCTCATTTGAGTTAAAATACAATTCTTAAAAAATCGAGTAAGTAATTCTGAAATAAGCTTATATAAGTGTAAACAAAAGAACAGAAAGAAATTTGGGTAATTTTCTTAAATCTAAATAAATATACTATGTCACATGCTGAGATTAATGACATTATCTAAACTCGGTAGGAATGCAATTAAGTGCTAAGAAACAGAAAGCGCCTCACAGTTTTATAAGACTGAGCTGTTTTTACTATCATAATAACTGAAGCATGTGCTTAATAACTCATCAAATACATTTACTTCCCTTCAACATCTACAAGGTCAAAACCAGTCATCAGCCGTAACTTGAAGTGTCATTAATTCCTCTGAAAAACTGTTAAAGAGATTGTTCCAAGAAGCACCAGCCTGTATCCCATTGAGGTTCCTGGGGTGTTTCAGGGATGCTAGGAGGTGCAATGTACTTTTAAAACGACGTATGGATGGATAGCATTACTCTTAATGCTCCAAATGAAGAGCTTGCCATACAACTGTTCCTTATACACGGTACAGGGCTCCATATGCAACAGTTCTGATGTTTAATGTTTTGTCCTATGTCCAGTCCTTGGTTTAGCGATCATGGCCATTATACCTACATTTTAAAATATGATCTAATATATAAGGGTAACTGCCACTTAGTAACTGAGAACTGCATAGCATTGGGTCAGCATCAGTGCTAGGTCACTAGGGGCAATCTTGTCTAGATTTGCTCCCAGAATATCTGCACGAGCATGGGGTTTCTACATCTTTCGTCTTTGTTTCATGTTATTACTTCCACTTCCTCCCCATCACCTGCCAGGGTTTTCAAATCCTTCGGGGATGTTTTGTTTCAATGTTTGTATTTACCAAACCCAACTATAATTAATATTTATAGCACTTCTGATCATTTCAAAGCTATTTCACAAATAAAATATCTTGATCTTCATAGTAATATCAAGTGAAATGAGAAAACTGAAGCATGAGGAAGTTCATCTTAATGCCTGAGGCAACTTGACGTCAATGTCAGAGCAGAGTACCTGCCTTAGGACGCTGAACCTAGCACTCACTTCACCCCCATGACTGCTTGTCGTTGGTTTGGTCTTTGGATTAGACTTGCACCAGAAATTCTTTCTCACCAGCTTTGTGATTTTTAAATATATTAGGTAAACTCTCTGGATTTTAGCTTCCTTGTTGGTAAATGGGGACAACAACGCCTACTTCATAGAGTTATTTGAGGATTACATGAAATGATGTGTGTAAAGTTAAAAACCTAACCCAGGCATGCTGGCTCCTGCCTATAATCCGGTTACTTGGGAGGCTGAGGTGGGAGGATCCCTTGAGGACAGGAGTTCAAGATCAGCCTGGGTAACACAGCGAAACCCCATCTCTAAAAATATTAAAAAATTAAAAAATAAAAATAATAAAGTAAAAATACCTAGAATAAGGTTTAGTGTTCAAAACTGCTCATCCTTCTAATCCCTAGTCTTGGTCATCTTCACTAAAGGTACTTTCCTTAGGTCTACTGAGAGTATGAAGCGACTCTGGAATTCCGTGTTGGGCTGGGGGGCACAGTATACTTAATGTATCAGTAGGGTGGTAAAATATTTACCAATAATCTAAGGATTTATCAGTCATCTGCCACATTCCAACACAGCGCTCAGAACTTCCGATGCACCAAGAAACAGCAGCAGCCAAGGAATTTTGCAAGTAACAAGAACAAGACTTAATGATTTTCTAGACGATAAAGTGATTCCAAGAGAGGCTGGTATGTTCCATTTAACCAAGGTCTTTGTAAATTCTCCAAAACACTTTCAAATAGAATAAAATACTTTTAAAACTACTTCATATAAATAGCTTACTTTTAAATGGCATATTCCACCAAATCCTGAAATGTTATTTTTTTATAGACACTGATACTGTATCCAACCTGCACTATTACACAGGCTGAGGGAGGGACAGCAAAAGGATCAATCTCACAGTGAACCTAGGAATGAGTGGTTAAATTGTGTTCGGTGTTTCTGCTGTGTTTCCATTACTGAGTCACCCAGATTTAAAATACCCTAGGGTAGGAATAACCATTTGGTTTTTCTCCTTCCTTTTCCTTCAGTGCCTCAGAACATAAAATACTTGTTGAGTTGCATTTCAGCCTCTGAGTTAGACCAAAAAATGTAGTTATGACTCCATCCCATTTGAATTAGTCCACTAAAAAAAGGTATTTACAGTTAAGTGGAAACATTTCATCTTCTGATTATTTTTTAATATAAAACAGTGACATCTCAGCATACTTTAGTTTAAAACTATAAGAACAGAAAAGATTAATTTTTTTCTTTTTGAGACAGGGTCTTACTTTGTCATCCACACTGAAGTGTAGTGGTGCGATCACAGCTCACTGTGGCCTTAAACTCCTGGGCTCAAGCCATTCTCCTGCCTCAGTATCCTGAGCAGCTGGGACTACAGGCACATGCCACCGTGTGTGGCTGGCGAGGAATAAATTTTATTGTTATTAATAGCAACTGGTCACTATGCACATGTGTGTGAGACAATGTTCAGAATGATACAGCCTAGGGTTTAAGACCAGAAACTTTAGTTCTGATTCTGCTTCCTTTACTATTTTTATCCAGGGACACAATGTTTCTGTTTTGAGGATGGGAAGAATGCCATATATTTTACAGCATTATGAAGAAAATTAAGATGGGATATTACTGTTGACACAGTAGTAAGTAATAATTTTGAGTGTTTAATGTGTGTCAGATATTGTTCTAATCAACTCATTTAATCACAACAACTCAATGAAATGCATAGTATTATTATTCCTATTTTAAAGATATTAAGGCTTAACAGTTTTAACAAAAAACCTTGCCAAGATCACCCAGCTAGTAATTGGTTGAGCAGGATCTCAAATGCAGGCAGTCTAACTCCAGAGTCCATGCTCTGAGCCACTTCCCTGTGCTGCCTCACTCCATCACAGCAGCTAATGACATGCTGGTTTCCCCTCTTCTTGGATTCTGGTATACAAAAACACAACAGATCCTGTCTTTTCCAGAAAGAAACAGTTGTTACACCAAGGACACAGGATATATGCACATATGGATAAAAAGCACGATAGAACTTGTCCAACAAATGTCAGAGGAGGTATACAACAAGTTCTACAGAAGTTTGGAAGAAGGGAAATAATGGGGATAAGGACATCGGCAAGATTGTTGTGATGTGGGTGGACTTTGACTTTGTTTCGCCTTCGAGAGTAAACAGACCTAAAACTATTAAAGAGTAGTTGGGAAAGATATTTCAGATAATACGAACAGGAAAGACAAAGCATCTCTGTGTTTAGGAAATAAGAATCAGTTTCATGATAACTGCAGCTTGCCAAAAATAAACACACACACACAAACAAAAAACAACACACACAAAAGAAAATAAATAAAATTTTTGTTTTGAAAAAAGAATCCATTTCAGTGACGGGGAAGGTTTCAATATGGGCAACACTGAGGGTAGAGCGGGGGCAGTTTAAAGTGATTTTGTACAGTGTTTTAGAAACTCAAGAGAGGAGAAAGACCTCCTGCTAGAAGGCCACCAGGGGCTTCCGAGTGACTGTGAGTGAGGAGATGGCAGGTATATAACACGGATGAAGGTAGGGAATGCCAGATAACGGACTGCGAGAGCATGCAGAAATCTTCGGCACACATACCTACATTCAGACAGGTCCCTATTATTCCAGCGATGATTATCTTGTTGGCGGGTATTCCATGGCCTCTCCTCACCTGCTGGCTGTCCTTTTGGTTTGTCCCTTGCTTTAGCACCTGGGGGTGGACACGGAGGCAAAGTGATTTTCCAATGAGTCTTTTTGTTTGTTTCTTTTTGCTGCCCTTTCCCAGCTGTGGTTAGATTTGCTGTTGGAAGGAGAAGTATATTGTGGATGATAAGAACATTTCTTTCTCTTTTTCTTTTTTCATGGTACTTCCAGTCCCTTCATTGAACAATTTACATGGGAAGAGCAGGAATCATATTTGAGCTTAACCCTGGAATATGTAATTGTTAATTTCCCTTGATCAGAGATGGGCTACGAAACGGGGACCTGCCCATATGGACTTTTCAATAACATTTGTATAGCAGAACCTTGTTTCCAATCTGGCTGCTGAGACTTTTAGGTGAGAGTGGTTAAAGTTACTCTCCTTAAAAATGTTATGTATTGCGTATCTCAAGACCTGCTGATAGTCATATGATTATTTATTTCAATCATTCTTACCTTTGCTACTATTTGGATATATTATGCAGTTGCTGCTGCTTCCTAAGTTGAATATAAGCTACCAGTAATTCTGATTCTCTAGCTGCAGAGTACATGTTTTGCTCTAAAACTAAAGTGCTGTATTAGTGGGATGAAAAAAAAAGAAAGAGATGAGAAAAATGAAACAGAGCAATGCCAAGCTCTTTTTTAAAAGTAATATTTAATTACTATTTCAGGCTACTTTCAAGAGTGTATATGACATCTAAACAGATTGTAGAACCCTAATACATCATTTCACTAATATATATCCAATTGCAGTTGACAAAAAAATTATTTTGGTCCATAATGGCCTAGAAACCCATCTTTTACTTGGATCCATTATATGCAAATATATTTAGGGTACAAAACGCGCGCGTACACACACACACACACACACACAAAATCTCTTTCAAGTAAAGGAACAGGTCTTAAAAATTTATACACTTGGCTAATAGCCAGCTACTGAGTCTATTTTGTCTCCTCTCTGATTAACATACTTTCATAAATTATTTCCAATTTCTTCCAGTTGTGTTCTTGTCAACTCTTCACCTCACAACCCCAATATTGTCCACATAGTTATAGATAAATCAGAGAGTGGGTAGCAAAAAGCACATCCAGCTATTTTAGGACATGGCATATATCAGTTATGTCCAGAAAACTGGCTCCTTTGCTCGTGAGAACTTCTTGGCATATCCATTAGCCTGCTGACCTCGGTATGAAACATTACAATATAAAGCCTCAACTACTCTGTTTCTCAATTTGTTTGATAAACTAGAATTATTTCCAAAGTTCTCAAATAAACAGAAATCATTATAATTATAAATAATTAAAATGCTAAACTCAAGAGGGCACTCAACATTCATTATACTGTAGAGCTTGTCCCCTAAGGGTAATACCTTCAATTAGTTCAGTTTTTACAACAGAAGAAAAATGTGACAATCAGTAATTGCAGGTATTTAGTTCAAGGAACAAAACATACAAACTGGCCTTTAAATTGCCCTTTCAGTCACCACAGGTTATGCTCTCTTTTAGATTCTTAACATTTGTACTAATTCTAGAATACAGGAAAGCAACAGATAAGGGAAAAACACAGTCTTCAAAGCTGTGAGTAGATGCACTTCAGCTTTATCAGCACTTTCAATGGAGAAGGTTAAAGTAGAAGGTAAGATCTAACAAAAAATGATTTTAAGAGAGAGCCCTTTAAAAGACATTCTATAAAATTTATCACTTATGTATTCACTTACTTTACAAACATTTATTGTCAGAGTTTATACTAAATGATAATGACATTGCTTTAGAAAAACTAGTTGATGGTTTTTTAAAATCATACAAATTTGTTTATGTGTGTGTATATGTATATTGTTACAAATATAGAGTATACATATCCATAATTTATAAAAGGATGTTGTTTTGAGTGTTATTCCTCGTTCTTAAAGTTGTAATGAAATTTAAAAAAAATTAATCACAAAATTATTTAGATTTTATTCCTTGGAGTCTCCTCTATAAAAAGCATCAATTTCCTTTACAAAATACAACTATTTTCTGTTGCAGTAGTAAATGCTATTTCAGTTACTAGGGCTTTTGTTAGGTTTTCATAGAACTAAAGTACTGTAAGTTGGAAATGGATTAGCAAATAGTAAATACTGTTTTTGGATCAAAGCAAGTATAGCAAAACAGATTTCTTTACTCCGATTCAACATCAAATTGACAACCATGACCTGAGAAACGGTTATCTTTTACTAGCTGCCACATTGGGGAAATAAATTTAGTCCTTCATTTAAGTAGAGGAAAGAACTCATTAGAAATGTGGTACAAGTGGTTTCAGGATGATAAATCTCAAGTTACCAATTCCACTTTTAATGATTAGCTGCCTGTGCCTTGTATTTAATTAAAATGATTATTTTAAATGCTTATATTTAATTTAAACATAATTATCTAAAGTTCAATGTTACTGCCTCATCCATTTTGAAATTAATTAATTTATAAAATAGTTCAAAAAGTGCTGTAAAATATTAATATTAAAATACAGCAGGATCAATTTGCATCTTTTGTTGGTTTCTGTTGTGGACTCCTAGTGCGCTGTTTACATTAGGCAGGACTGCAGGGTCTCTGGCATAGCTAATGTGTAATGAAATCAAATATTGATATGTCCTTGACATTTCTTTTGCACGTAGGATATATACTTTAACCTTCCAGGAATAATAGTTCATAGCTAAGGATATGATTGTTTAAACTTTAAAGCGATGTAAGTTTTAGAAATTATTTTGGACTTAATACATTTAGGAGAAACCATTGCTTTTAGCAAATGATTTATAAGTGTGTAACAATCAGTGTGATAAAATTTCTTATGAGTCAGTCCAATAAGTGTAACCAGAAGGTGTTTTCAAGGAAAAGTTCTGCTTTTAACTTGTATTTAAACAAACAGTTTACATAGTGAGTAGTGATATATAACAATGTTTCCTGGTCTATGGATTCTGAGGATATTCTGAAACACTCTTGTATCCATTTGGACGGGATTTCCTGGTGCAGTGAAAAACTATATCCATGAATGTCCTACAATCCTTAGTGTGCTTGATGGGAAAAACTTTTAAGCTGTGCACATTTGTCTATTAATGATGATTGCTACCATTTATTAGGTACTGAATACGTATTAGGCACTGAACTAAATACCTAATAAAATTGTATTCAGCCCATTTTACAGATGAATGAAGTGAGGCTTGGAGAGACTAAGGCATACATAATTTATACGTATAATTTGTAAGTTATAGAGGCAAGACTCAAAGCCTAAATCCACAATGCTACCCCTTACTGTCTTCAGCTCCCATCTCAGAGAGCTAGGAAGGCATTCTCAATGGTGAGATGCTTGTAACCCCCACCTCCACCACCACCACAAACAACAAAATAGTTCTCCCTTGCAGTAATAGTGTAAATTAATGAAATGGTAAAAGTAACACATTTGGCTTGACTATTAGTAATTAAAATCTGTTGCCCCCAATCTTAGTGTCCTTTTATACAAATACTAATATATGCAGAATTTTCTAATATTTTATTAAAACCTGGGCTTTCTATTCTCCAACAAACCTCTATAGTTGGGGAGATTTGTTCCCACCATTCTGTGACATTAGCTCAAAACTTTGCACAATCTCTACCCCCAACACCACCAACAACCTTTGGGGCATCTTAATTGTGAGCAGGCTATAAGGCTATAAAATCAGACTCAGCTTACACATCAAGTAAGTTGTGCAGAATATTTCTTTCCTTTTCACACTAGTATTATTAGGTGGAATTACAGGATGCCTTTAAGCAATGCTGTATCTCAATTACCACAACTGCCATCTGTTTCTGTTTCTTCCAATGAACGATATCCCCACCCAAAAGCTAGGCTTCAATGTGTTTTCTGCAAAGAATATGAGTAACACACACAAATATTCCTCCTATTTAGATTAGACAGTATTAGGTAGTAATCAAAGCCAATTATCTATTGATTTTCAGTTTAACATTTCAACTATCAAACACTATCTTAACTCCGGACACCCTCAGAAGGTTCAAAGGATTGGAACCATTGCAAAGCAATTATAGCAGAGAAGACCTGTTTGAGGAGCTAGAATAGGTAAAAATACAGGCACATCTGCTTTGTAAGTCTTGCTCAGACCTTTAAATGCCATCTGTTTTTCCGTTCTTTTCCAGCTACCATCTTCCCCTAGGCTAAAAGATTTTAAAATGACTTGGGGGAAGAAAAAACTTTGAGAAACTAGTTTGAGATTTTAATTCTGTATTTCATCTGTCAGACAGTGAAATGCAGTTAACCGCAGCAAGTGTTCCTAATAGATAAGGGAATTGTTGCTTCACATATAATTACATTGAGTCTAACAGTAGACATAGCCATAGCCAACTATATCATCATCATACTATTAGAAGTGCTAGTAAGTCTGAAAAGAATCCATTTTGAGGAGGGTCAGAGCTACTTTTATTTTACTTCAAGCCAGGGTTATCATGGAATAAAACTGATAATTCTTTTGGGGAACAATTTTTGGAATATAAAAAAAGTATTAAAGGGTAAATGAAACTAACTGTTGTGACTGGCAGTGAGTTCAGGCATTCTGTGTTCTTTTGTGTTTGCTTTGGAATGTTAAACAGGTTGAGTTCTTTTTAAAAGAAAACATTTTATTCAGAACATTCTTCCATGAAAGCCTTCTTTGACAAAGTGTCATTTTTTGATATATTAGTACATGTCTGCCCACATTTTCTATTCAAAAGAGGCTAGCAATGTTTTAACAACTTTTGACAAGCATGGGGAATTAAACTTCCACAGAATCGACTCTTTTAATGTAATGCTACAACCTATTTTATATTCTCGATTTTGCACTTCTTATGGCAGGCCACAACATTTTAAATTATATCAACTTATAGTCAAAAAAAGTACAAAAAAATTAAAAATGAGTACTTAACTCATCAATAAAATATTTTTAAGCACATAATTCTGAAATTTGTTGAGAAAAGGAGTTACAGATATAGAACTAAGTGAATTATAAATTA